GCTAATAGAATCAATTAGATCATACCAGCTTAAACTGGAAAATGTTCTCAAAAGCAAAAAATATAAAAATATGATACAGAAAGGTAAATTTGCTCGAACAAGTTTCATTTCAACAGTTAATGCCTGACAACTTCTATACTTCATAGCACAACAGATGGAGCTAATATTTTTTCTATCCAGTTCCTCAATAAAAACCTATATTTACACAACATAAAACCAGAATCACAATTCTGTAGTAGGGTATAAATAGGTCAAGAGTAATACCAAACTGAACTTACAATAAAAAGTATCTATTGGAAGTACATGCCTGAAACTCAACTAATTTTGGGATAAGGAATTCAACAAAACAGATCTTACCTGTAATATCAATATTTTCTGTTACACATGCATCTTGAAAAATTGTAAAATTATGTAATTTTCATCTTGTCAAAAACAGAACATTAATGATTACAAAATTTAGAAATTTGTTTTACAAAAAGGAAAACATTTTATAATAGTGTATTAAACTTCAGTGTTAAACTGATAGAAAATACTTTCTGGGTCTTGTTAATGGTTCTTCTGCACTTCTAATGGTGATTTGCTGACTGGTCTTCCTTATAAGCATACAATATGGCTAATATTTCCGGAACACTCAATATCCAGCCATCACTTGAAACTGATATTCCATCAAAGTCCCATCTAAAGATAAATGTCAATTTCGCTTGTGCAATATCATCTGACAAAATCCATTGGAATCAATAATTTCTGCTCTTTGTTGGATCTAAAAATTTTATCAGATGGGCTTGTTGCATATGAGCAATTCTCTGATTGGTGCCTCATACCAGGAGAATCCGTTGATGTATACTTGGGAGAACTACACAAACTGGCTGCATTGTTTGTGGGCATCAGTGGCCATGTCCTGGTGTGCACTTTTGTCAAAGGGTTACCAAATTGTGTGAATTTAATCATCATACAGATGCTCACTTGTGCTTGATCAATAATGAAAGGTGAGAACCCAAAGACTTGGCAGTAACAGCAAGGTGAGAGATACACCAAAGGATTATGTAACCTCCTCCTCCCAGGAGAGTTCTAATGTCATAATTTATTGTTGATACAATGGCCTTAATCACTGAAGCAGAAAGCCTTGTATTTGTTGTTATAACTGCGATAAAATAAGCCACATACCCCAAGATTGTCCAGGGGAAAGGGGCCAGGAGACAGCAACTCAGTGCCAGTTTCCTCCAGAGTGAAGATGTAAACACAGCACTGCCAATGGTAGGAATTAATGTATGTGGAAGGATGTTCATTGAACTTGTGGACTGGGTACTCCTGCACCATAGTGAGCAAGGTGTGCCGAATGTGGAAGAAAAGATATGTGACACATTATTTGAGTAAAATTATAAAATTTAAAGTTAAATTCATTTGATTTGAAACATATAGCATAAAAATTAGTATACAAGCATTTCTTAACAATGGCTCCAGCTTTTCTCAGGTCTTTGACATTATCAATGAGCTATGAGGTGTTGACAGCTATTATGGATGACCAAAATTGACAAATTTATGAAATTTAAGTTAATGCATTTTTTTTTGAGTTTGTAACTATCTAGTAATTTTTATAAATGAACATATTTTCAGCAATTATCCAATATTTCATTCATTGAAATAAAAAAAAAAAAAAACAGTTTTACAATCTTACTTATTATAAAAGCACAGTTTTACAATCTTACTTATTATAAAAGCACAGTTTTACAATCTTACTTATTATAAAAGCACAGTTTTACAATCTTACTTATTATAAAAGCACAGTTTTACAATCTTACTTATTATAAAAGCACAGTTTTACAATCTTACTTATTATAAAAGCACAGTTTTACAATCTTACTTATTATAAAAGCACAGTTTTACAATCTTAATCTTTTACAATCTTATTATAAAAGCACAGTTTTACAATCTTACTTATTATAAAAGCACAGTTTTTACAATCTTACTTATTATAAAAGCACAGTTTTACAATCTTACTTATTATAAAAGCACAGTTTTACAATCTTACTTATTATAAAAGCACAGTTTACAATCTTACTTTTATAAAAAGCTTTTACAATCTTACTTATAAAAAGCACAGTTTTACTTAATTATAAAAGCTTTTATCTTATAAATTATAAAAGTTTTTTACAATCTTACTTATTATAAAAGCACAGTTTACAATCTTACTTATTATAAAAGCACAGTTTTACAATCTTACTTATTATAAAAGCACAGTTTACAATCTTACTTATTATAAAAGCACAGTTTTACAATCTTACTTATTATAAAAGCACAGTTTTACAATCTTACTTTTATAAAAGCACAGTTTTACAATCTTACTTATTATAAAAGCAAGTTTTACAATCTTAGTTTATTATAAAAGCACAGTTTAAATCTTACTTATTATAAAAGCACAGTTTACAATCTTACTTATTATAAAAGCACAGTTTTACAATCTTACTTATTATAAAAGCACAGTTTTACAATCTTAATTATAAAAGCACAGTTTTACAATCTTACTTATTATAAAAGCACAGTTTACAATCTTACTTATTATAAAAGCACAGTTTTACAATCTTACTTATTATAAAAGCACAGTTTTATTAATCTTACTTATTATAAAAGCACAGTTTTTACAATCTTACTTATTATAAAACAGTTTTACAATCTTACTTATTATAAAAACTTTTACAATCTTACTTATTATAAAAGCACAGTTTTACAATCTTACTTATTATAAAAGCACAGTTTTACAATCTTACTTATTATAAAAGCACAGTTTTACAATCTTACTTATTATAAAAGCACAGTTTTACAATCTTACTTATTATAAAAGCACAGTTTTACAATCTTACTTATTATAAAAGCACAGTTTTACAATCTTACTTATTATAAAACCACAGTTTTACAATTAAAAGCAATTAAGTTTTTCTAATAATTTGATAGTTTTGTTGCATTTTTTATTTTACTATCCAGAGCAGATTTTCGGTGAATAGGTTACACCCCCACTAAAAAAAAATAAAAATAAAAAATCCTGCCCTCAAAATTTAATTTCTCAATTTCATGAAATTAAGTGTGTGTAAACAACCAAAAAAAAAAAAAATCCCCAAAACGCAGAAGCACTATTGTTGACCACTGACGTAAAAGAAAACAAAAATTTTTAACCAAAATTTCAAAAAAATAAAATACTTTGGTCTTCTTAACTTAACATTTCGACAAAAAATCTTTTTATTAGGCTTGGGGCCTTTTTGCTGTTTTTCAGCGAAAAAGTAGGTGTGTGTGTTGTATATAAGAAAAGAAAACCCATCACAACTGCAGCAAGTTCACTCACCAATGTTTTCTGAATATTGGCTGTCACTGCCGAGAATTCAGAATTTTAAATTCTTTCACGAGGAACTTAAAAGCTACACTTGAAATTCATAAACAAAATTGTTAAAAACAAACAACACCAACAACTCTTAAAAATATTTTCAATTTTTTTAAGACCTTAAATGATACTGATGTTTTACACGTTTGAGCAAGATAAAAAAAATCATTTGCTTTCATCAAGTCATTCTTGATTTAATGTTCAAATTCCATCCACCATTCTCATGTTTTTAGTCATCGAGAGGTCGTAAAACTGCACGAGAAACCTGATTTAGCTTTTAGGAAGATACAGTTATTTTTTTTAACTTTATGCAACAATGAATTATAAAAGAAATAAATATCAAGATTTTACAAATCCTCCAAGTAAGCGTAATTTGCTTTTGTGTTTGAAAGTAAACAAATTAATGGAAAGCAGGTTCCCTGTTTGTTTTTGGTTACTTCGCTGATATCATTTCAATTAAGATACAGTGTACCATCAATGAATTTGAATATATAGCAGTCAACAGGGCAACTGTTTTTTTAGCTATCACTATTGAATACGACAGTCAAACACTCAAACTACACTACAGTAATACACGATTGCCAGATAGAATAGGTGCTTTTTGGCATAAAAGTAAGATTCTTGTAATCAACAAAAATTCCACGAGTAAAAATCAATGTAGGACTCATCAAATGACAATTTGAATTATACTAGTTAAAAAAATAAATTTATTTTAAGAATTCTGATTAGAGAAGCATAGTTGACTTGACATTTGTAATTATGTCGAGAAAGATCAATTCACTCTTTTCCAATAACGAATTGGTCAAATCAAAATAGTTCGATTTTGAGACTCAAATTAAATTTTAAGTTTGTGGTAAGCAAGTGAAACAAAAAAAGAAAGATTGAAATTAAGTAATGACGGTAAAATTTATTAACTTGTTCAAGGCTAAGATTATGCAAGGTTAAAAAACTGTCAAATACTGGTTTAGAAAAACCAAAAATAAATGAAAGTACAAAAAAAATTTGAATGAAGATCTGTTGAAACAAACAATGTTTTTCTTTTTTAGACTTATTATTATTTGCTTTGCACGGCTTTGACATTTTGTTTTAGATTAGAAAAACAAAGTCTTCGTTCATCAACATTTTACTTTTTAAGAAAAGGAAATTATATTCTGCTAAAAAAATATGCTGAGTGATGATTTTCGTTCAATGTTACAATTAGAAGAAAAAGTCTCAATTAGTGAAGAAGAGGAACACGCTAAAATGAAATATAAAAACAAACGTAAAGAAATTAGAATACATGAAAAAAGTGTAGAGTGAAAGTAGAGAAACCTTACCACGTGCAAATTTTACTAACTACTAATCATTAGTAAAGAATACTCGTATAATACTACACAATAAATAACACAAACAGCGAAGAAGTTATTTCATTCGAATTTAAAACATGTATATTTTGTTTTGGTTCGGTAAATTAACGTAATCATAAACTACATGCAATAAAATTGGAGAGAGAGAAGTTAAGTTTTAATTATAACATTATTAAACAACAAAAAAGGCAAAGAAGAAACATATTTGAAAGCACAATTTGCTAATAACAAAATAAGTTAATTTTTTAAAGGTATTTTTGTAGTAAATGGCTTCAACTTCTCACCTTAATAAAAGATATCGGGGTAGTAGTTCCTTCAATATCTACCAAAAGTGCCTTTATTCCATCCAATACTGCCTCAGCTTCTGTAGCTGTTCTTTTTTGAGGGGCCATTTTATCTGTGCAGACTTTTAGAGAAATAAATTCTATTTTTATTTTTGATATTCTGGATGTCTTAGAAACTTTTTATTTTTTTTTGAATGACAGCTATGACACAGCGGTAAGTATCTTAGAAAAGCAGACGGGAAAATTATTTTCTAATAACGCAAAACTGTCGACAGAAGCAGATTTTCTTCCTTTCACTGGTGAAAACTTTTTTTTTTCAGTTTATATAGGTAAAAAAATAAACAGCTACTGTCTCATCAGTGATATGCGAACTACTGTAATAGCCACTAGGTAGTATCGAAAGAGGGCGCTACATTATAAAATACAATTTAATAAAATTGCTAATGAATATGTTAATCATGCCGATCCGGAAACCCGTTACCTCTCCCCCTGATCAAATTATTTCCAAAAATTAGCTTACAGGAAACAATACGAATAAATGTCAATTTCAGTCATTTGCTTCATTGAATGAACAATAAACAAAAATAAACACTCGTTTTTGAATATTTTATTGAATTTTTCCATTTATTTCGAAATGCATTTATTTATGATTATTTGATGTTACTGTTCGACGTGTCAGGGAGGAAGTAGACGGGGCGTACTTAACTGTTGTTATTGGCCAATGGGAAGAGGCTTAACATATGTACGTCGGCCTTCCAATGGTCGTCCATTGTTTGGAATGTTGTCAGGGTCAGTCGACCGCCGCCCACCACATAACGCTGGTTCCACGTAAGCTAAGATTCTCACTTAGTAATTTTGGCTTCTGTTTATAGAGTCACAGACTTTCTGGTGGCACATCACTCAACTTTGCTAGCCCGACGAAGAAACTTACTGCTGTCCTGTCTCTTCTTAAGTGTTCTGCTTCTTTAGCGACTTTACTATTTACTTAGTGACACGCTGTCATCTTACTGATCCTAAGTCAGCCGTTCACTCACACCCTTTTTTTTCTTATCCAATTGTTTCCTGTGTTGTTAACTTTTTATAGATTCTATTTCTCGCCTGTCTTATTATTGTTGTTAACGTCGTCAGTGTTAAAAAAAAAATTATAAACAAGCGAGATAAGATTTTTTTTTTTTAGCTTAAAACCGGCCTTCGTCCATGCCTCTTTTTTTTCCACGTTTTTAAAATTACTACTACTTTAATAACTGCCATACGTTTGTTATTTATAAGCAAATATCATTATCTACTACAAATTAGAATTGCATCGATTGATAAATTATATATGCTCAACTTCTGTAAATTTTGAATCTTTCCCTTCGACTTCTGACAATTTATTTCTCTTTTGCAACAGTAACAGACGTGTACCCTACAAGCCGAAATAGATTTGACAAACGTACAACTTTTTAAAAAAGTGGAGAAAAAAACTTGATAAATATCCAAATTCAAAAAATATATGCAATTTTCACATGCTGATATTAATTAAAAAGTAAGTAAGTTTGCAGAGCTCAGAATTGCCTACGTGGACTTTCTCGACATCCTTTTTGGTTTCCATCCAAGGACGATAAAGTATTTCTTACCACTTGATACATACGCACATACACCAGACACTGCCTAAAACTAATTATTTTACATTATCTGCTGTTATAAACATTTTTTCTCTGACATTTGTCTTGGAGATAGACGTCAGTATTGTCAACACTGAAAAAAAAAACTTATCCCGACTATAAAGTACACATACTTATATATATTACCACCAATTTTTAAAACTGGTGAATTTTTAAGAAAAAAAAAACAAAAAAACAGAAACTTCCTATTATGGAGACTTTGTTGATCGGCGTGGCCGGTTTTATCTTATCGTTTCTGGTGATTTATTTAATATCTGTATTCAGCATGCGAGAAAAAACGTTTGAAGAAGTTTTAGAAGAACAGCGGAAACGACTGGAGGAAGAAGAGAGGAAGGCGAAGAGCGAACGGAGGGCCGAAAAGGGTGAAAGGAAAAAGTATAGAAAGTTTAAAGAGAAGCCGAAAGAAAAATCTTTGTCAACACAACGCGAAACGCAACCGTCGCCGACAGCGAGTAATACAAAAATTCTGGTACCGCCGGTTACTGAAATTGTAGTGGAAAGTGTGTCCTCTGCTACTGTTGTCCCAACAGCAACCAGTATTAAGACCAATTCACCAAAATCATCTAAGAAGGTCCAGAAATCCTTTAGCGACGGTAATAATTTGGGTGATAGCAGTAGTAGTAACGTTAGTGGAAAAAATGTGAAACCACTTGTTGCCCGATCGTCTGCTTCTTCCGTCCCGGTTTGTATGGAAGAAACAATTGAGAAAAATGTTCAACAAGTAACAGCACTTGAAAAAGGTAATTCAAATAAGAATAACAGTGGCAAGGAATCAAAAATAGCCCGGAAAATCTTACCCCCGAAACAGTCATCTTCAGTCTTATCTTCACCAGCAGAGCAACAAAAACCGAAACAACCCCAACCACAGGAGCAACAAAAAAACCGAAACAACCCCAACCACAGGAGCAACAGAAACAACAAAACAAACAACCCCAAAAGGAGCAAAAACAAAAACAAAACAAGCCCAACCACAGGAGCAACAAAAACAAAAAAACCGAAACAAGCCCAACCACAGGAGCAACAAAAAACAACAAAAACCGAAACAAGCCCAACCACAGGAGCAACAAAACAACAAAAAAACAAGCCCCAACCACAGGAGCAACAAAACAACAAAAACCGAAACAAGCCCAACCACAGGAGCAACAAAAACAACAAAAACCGAAACAAGCCCAACCACAGGAGCAACAAAAACAACAAAAACCGAAACAAGCCCAACCACAGGAGCAACAAAAACAACAAAAACCGAAACAACCCCAAGAGCAACAAAAATCAAAACAACCCCAAGAACAACAAAAATCGAAACAACTCCAACCACAGGAGCAACAAAAGCAACCAAAAAAAACGAAACAACCCCAACCACACGAGCAACAAAAACTGAAACAACTCCAATCACAGGAGCAACAAAAGCAGAAACAACCACAACAGCAAGAACAACAAAAGCAACAGCAAGAAGAGAAACACCAAAAGCAACAACTGCAGAAGCAACAACAGAGAAATACTAGCAATAATAAAGGTGCCAACAATAGTCAGACCCAACAAAACACAAAATCCAATGTCGATTCAAAGGGTAACACAAAAACCTCAAAGGCGGCCAAGCAAAATGCCAACGAAGCCCTTGAAAAACAAATCCTCATTGTTGAACAGAATCAAAAACTTTGTAAGTAAAACGTTTTTTTTAATAAAAAATTAAAATGATTAAATATTAATTCCTAATTTAATTAACCATGATTATCCCTCGTCTTTAGTTTCTGAACTGTATTGATTAAAAACTGTCCAGATGAAAGTTTTTATTTTCTTTTAGTTTTACATACAATTTTTAAGGAAATGTTTTATGGTGTTAGAAAAAGTCCTTTTTCTAAAAGACCATTGTTGCAATGTCAGCAGGTTCTTACAAATGTCTGTGCGGTGTCGGTAGTAACTTAAGTAACTTTTTAAAGTGTTTTATTTTTTGTGTTAAGAAAAGCGAAGTGGATCTCATTGTTTCATTTTATGTTCAAGATACACATCTGTCATTAATTTGTCTTTCCTCCCACGTTGATCGGGCCCACCCACATTCTCCAAGGAAAAAAAAAAAATAATTTCAATTATTTAATGTTAATGTCATAACAGATTGATTATTATATTTACCATCCTCCTCATCTG